GCAAAAGCTCTACCCACTGTGTTATCACTCCAGCCCTCCCTATATGTAAAATGGGAAAATAATAGTAGTTTCCGTACCCCTCTGAAGTCCTAACAAAATATGATTTCACATTAAGAGCATACCATCAGGTTTCTATACTAACATAGTAGTTTCAAACATTTAATGTGAATGTTGTGTCAAGTATTGAGATTAGATATCTTTGAAGAGTTGTGCAAAAGTATTATTTAATTTATGATTTATGGCTTGAAGGTGATGCAGTTCTTCTAATCTGCACAAATATTCTAGATAAAAATTATATGGTATTGACTCCTATACAATTTGCCAATCTATCTCAGCTTTGCTTCAATAAATACAAGTTTAATGATTTGAAAAGAAAAATTTGGTGGTATAAGAAGAAAAATAAAATTAAAAAAATTGCTGTCTCAGAAATAATTGGATATATCCTCCTATATTCTTCAAAATATTATGTGGCCTCCTATCTTCCTCTTTAATTCTTTACACAACCACAAAAAACATTTACACTGATATCAAAATCATTCAATTTATATATTAAATTTTCCTCAATTAAAAAGTAAAAATCCATGGGAGAGGACAAACATAATGAGATAATCTTGAGTAAAAATTGCTAACTCAAACTGTATTAGAGTTGCCACTTATACAGAGAGAACTTGTCTGGAAGGTCATAACAAAAATTATGGCCTATTAATTTTGGATACTTTCATGAATGAATGACAAGCCTCACCTTCTCTATGATACAATAAGGTGAAAGCTAAACTTGATCCAAACATATATATATTCACTTGGGATTGTGGTCAGAACTTTGAGATTCCTCCTTTCCAATGTCCTAAATAAAAATAGCCTCTGTGCCCCAGGCAAACTTCCTGGTTCTAAGGTCAGATGAGATCCTAACCTTTATCTGACCTTAGGTTATAATATAGTATACAAGTACTTTTGCTGAAAAGCTCTTTTCAATTCTTTAGAACTACACTACTGGCTGATCAAAAGTGTGCCCAAACCCCACATTTCTAAGGATCAACAAATTATTAGAAGTTTATGGCATCTTCATTGGTTTCTTGTGTTTTCCTGTCCGAGTTCCTGTGGAACTCTGACCCTGGATGATGACAAAATAAACCAAATAACTAAAAACCAAATCACCCTAATTCTACATTTCACTCAAAACATGTAAAATAGCACAATTGAGTGGAACAATAAAATATTAAGGACAACTCACTGTATATTTGACCTTCAAAGAGAAATGTAAGTGTTTTAACCTCAAACTCAGAAATTTCTAGGAGAGATGGTTACGCTCCTAAAAATATAAAAGTCTGTACACTTACCTTTCATTTTTTTTTCTAACTATCCAAATTCTTGATCTCATCACTTTGATTAAGCCTGTTTCTACCGCAAAGCATTCACATTTCCCCATAGTAGAAGGACAGTGGTCTCAGACTGTGCCATGGTACACAGGCCATGCCATGTGAGAAAAGTATCTCAAGACAGGAAGAGACTAATTGAGTCAGGAACCAGATCACCTTGTTTCTGTCACTTGAATATTTTTGTTTTAAGCAAAGGAACTTGATTAAACCATAAAGCATAGCACTTTCAAACTTTAAACTATATTCAAAAATCTCTGTGCTGAGTATTCAAAAGCAAATCTTCAATTGGCCAAAAACCATGAAATCCTACTGCAATACAAGAATTGGGAACAGAGCTAATGAGTTTATATTCCTCTTGGCTCAATTCTGCGTACAGCAGAAAGGATTCTATTGCAGATGAAGACAACTGTATTCATTCATTCTACTAATATTTAGTAGATTCTACTAATATTTTAATAGAACTATTTTATTCCACTAGAATTTATCAAAAAATTCGTCTGTGCCAGACTCTGGAAAATCTAGCCAACTTTTTATGAGATACTGTGATTTTACCTATAGTTCTAGTGAACATATGTTTAGCAAGGACAATTTTTAAGTACTTACTGTAGTTTACTACTAAGTCTTTTAAAGCACCTACAATTTGCTAGGCACCATTATCTGCTTTCTTCAGAAAAGGGAAATAAACCACAGAGGTATTAAGCAATTTCTTCATGGTCACTAACCAAATAAACATAGATTTTTTTTACCCTTCTTTGACCCTCTCCATCTAAAATAGACATACTACCTTTGAATTCAGTTTGAGTTCAGTTGTTACATATAGCAAATGTGAATCATATTTTCCTTCTAAAATTTAAAAGGAACTAAATGTGAGATCATATTTTTCAAGGTAAAAATACACACAAAAATTGTTCTGCTAATTGGTGAAATGAATTTTTTTCACTAGATTTTGTGTCTGATAGGCTAGATTTAACCCTCACGTAATTTTTGATGTAGAGAAAGACTTTGATGATAGAGAAGAAAACAAGTGAGTGTTTTTCAAACTAACTGATCAGTTCAGCCAGTCAGTTAAATTCAAAGATTTTCATGGATGAATACACAAATTCTGAACCACTTTTTTTTTATGATTAGCTTTCACAGGTTTTTAATTATTGTGACAAACTGTTGGAAATATTTCTAAATGCTATTTTCAGTCACAGTATAATCTTGTTATGGACTGAAGAGGAAAAGCCAACAGTCGGCTCTGAACAGAGTTTCAGTAATTGGGCCTAAAAGGTAAAGAATTGTTGGGAGTTACAATTTTCAGAAATCTACAAAGAACTGTCCTTGGACCTATAGTAGTTCTTCAGGAGCCGAAATGGACACCAAAAAGGAAGAGAAAAGGAGAAAGGAGAAAGAGTCTTCATATTCTTTCTATCCTATCTAGTGTACAAACATAGGAAAAAAGAGGAATCTTGACCAGCGCAGTTATCTCATGCTTACTGCAATGGAAATTTCCAATTAGGTAATAAAAACAATTTTATAGCCTTCTTTGTGGTCATCAGAAAATTTCCCAAAAGTAACTGAGCTTGAGATAAAGTTGAAAGATTTGTTTTCATCTCTGTAAAGTGTCAGGTTGTAAATGTTCATTCTAATGTTAATATTTTGTCATTTCAACTTGGAAGTGACTCAGGAAGTGGATAGTGTCATGGAGTAGAGGGATCTTTCTGGTGGGAGCTTTTGGCTCTCTTTTCCTGACCAGGAATGTTTTTCCCAATGTGTTCCATTGCTCATGCTACTTCTTGCTCTTTCCCGTCATCTGCTATTTAGGAGTTGCAGTGGAGTGGTGGAGCGTGCAGTAGGTCCCTGGTGGGTCTGATATGATCCCTGAGTTTCACACTTGATGCCACAAAGGATGGTCAGCTTGTTATCTAATGGGTCAGAAAATTCAAAGCTATTTCTGTTAAACAAGTGTCTTTGGCTCATGGTAGCACTTCATATCCTACAGCTTTCTTCCTGTAGCAGAAGGGTGAACAAGTTGAGTGGAAAAAAATGAGGAGTTTTCTAAAGCAAATATTCCGAATTATGCCAGCAGCAGTTCTTTGCAAATTAAAGGCGTGGTGCAATCTCTGAGGATCTTTCCTTTTAGAGTAAAAGCAGATTCTTAGCCGGCGACATCCTGTATTTCAGATAAAGATATCAAGTTCTGTCAGAAAAAGGTTCCTCCTTATTGCATGTAAGTAGGTAGTGATAATAGCTAGGATTACAACTGGTTTCTTGTTTACTTATCCACACTGCAATTGGTTTTATTGCTATGGAAATTTTCTCAGACTTCCCTTACTCATGTAAAGACACATTTCATAAGTGAGCCAATAAGGGCTGAGGTAAAAAACTGCAATAGAAAGATATCTGGGTTCTGAAAAATTCGTTGTCATTGTTTTGGGGCCACACCTGGTGATGACCAAAGTTTACTCCTGGCATTGTTCCCAGGGGACATTCCTGGCCAGACTGAAGGTCCCATATGAGTGCCAGGGATAGAACCCATCTCAGCCACGTGAGAGGTGAGTGCCTTTTCGGCTGTACTATTTCTCTGGCCCCATAGCTAGATTCTAGTACTGATAGCTGCACTAGTCAGCCTGATGCTCTGCCCACACGGATCAGCAGTCACCCTTTGAGACCTAAACTTGTGAATACATACACACACACACACACACACACACACACACACACACACACATATATGTGTGTATGTTTCTCCCAATACATTTCACATAAATGTAAACCTGAAGCACAGAAAATTATAAGAGCACCAAAACTTAAGGTATCAATAGATGGAAGCCGACCTGGAATATGACAAAACTAATGAAGTCCACATTTAACACATATTTTTACAAATGGCACCTAAATAGTAATGGAACAGTGTTTTCCAAGAACCTTGCTAATATGGTTGCTACAGGCACATCCCTCTGAAGCAGTCATCAAGCATGGCACAAGAAAATGTCCACTTGCTTGACGTGTCCAGATGTCTAACTGCATTTTAGAGTTCAGTGTTTGTTTTTGTGTGCATACTATGGGGGAGTGGAGGAAAGGAGAGTGAACAGGAGGCCTGGAGCTCCCCCTAGAGGCTAACTTTATTTTCCCTTGACTGGGATAGTAAAGTGTAGCTGGGATGCTGATTGGAGACGCTTGAAATCTGGATGGAAAGATTTAAGATTAAGCAGTACTCTGTTAGTCCTACCAAGGAAAGTAAGATACCAAATTCATTGAACTTATTTGGGTATTTGAAAGAAATACCAGCTTCAAAGTCCTTTATAAAGTGGCCAGTTGCAAAAATTTCTGAATGGGAAGTTTTGTGATTCCTTTGGAATAAAAGATGTCTTAAATGATATACGGCGTTTTATACTTTTGTTTAACTTACAGATACATGTATGTGTTTGATCATGTTATGCCAACCCCGCACTAGGAATGCTGAAAAGTACCTACATAATATAAATCCCCACCCCCACCCCCTGGCACCCCTTGCTCTTCTGGGTTCTTCAAAAGAACAGTCTATCTAAAATCAGAAAGATTAATAGGACAAAAGACAGAATATAATTATATGCATAAGGATCATCTGAATGTATGTGGACTCTAAAAATCAGTGGGACAGTGCTCGCTTTGGCAGCACATATACTAAAATTGATACAGAGAAGATTAGCATGGCCCCTGCACAAGGATGACATGAAAATTCATGAAGCATTTAATATTTTTAATAAGCCCTCATGAAAAGCTAAGGCAATTCTTGGTAAAAAGAAAATGGCAGGAATCAACCTCCCTAACTTCGAACACTACTACAATGCAGTAATAATTACTGCTTTGTAGTAGAACAGCATGGTACTGGAACAAAAGCAAAGCTAAAGACCAATGGAACAGGGTTGAATATACTGACATCTCCCCCCAAACAAATGAACATCTAATCTTTGATAAGGGAGTAAGGAAAGTGAAGTGGAGCAAGGAAAGCCTCTTTAACAAATTGTGCTGGCAAAACTGGACAGCTACATGCAAAAAAATGGGCTCAGATCTATGCCTAACACCATGTACAAAAGCAAGATCAAAAGGGATTAAAGACCTTAATATCAGACTGGAATCCATAAGGTACATTGAAGACAAAGTTGGCAAAACCCTCCATGACATTGAAGCTAATGGTATCTTCAAAGGTGTCATACCACTAGCCAAGCAAGTGAAAACAGAGATAGACAAATGGGACTATCTTAAACTAAGAAGCTTCTGCACCTCAAAAGAAACAGTGACCAAAATACAAAGACAGTCTACAGAATGGGAAAGGATATTCACCCAATACCCATCCAACAAGGGATTGATATCAAGGATATACAAAGCATTGGTTGAACTCCACAAGAAGTAAACATCAAACCCCATAAAAAAATGGGGTTACAAAATGAAAAGAAACTTTCTCAAAGAAGAAATCCGAATGGCTAAAAGGCACATAAAAAATGCTCTACATCATTAATCATCAGGGAGATGCAGATCAAAACAACGAGATATCATTTCACACCACAGAGACTGGCCCACATCCAAAACAACAAAAGCAACTGGTGTTTGCGCAGATGTGGTGAGAAAAGGATGGCAGGAATGCCGACTGGTTCAGCCCTTTTGGAAAACAGTATGGACGATTTTCAAAAAAATTAGATATTAAGCTCCCATTTGACCCAGCAATACCACTCCTGAGAATATATCCCAGGCAAAACAGTATAGTCAAAGTGACATCTGCACTTGTTTGTTCATTGCAGCACTGTTTACAATAGCTAGAATCTGGAAAAAATCTGAGTGCCTGAGAACAGATGACTGGTTAAAGAAACTTCGGTACATCTACATAATGGACTACTATGTAGCTGCTAGAAAAGATGAAGTCATGAAATTTGAATACAAGTGGTACTACATGGAAAGTATCATGCTAAGTGAAATGAGTCAGAAAGAAAGGGACAGACATAGAAAGATTGCATATATCTGGGGAACATAAAGTAACAAAATAGGAGACTAACATCAAAGAAAAGCCGAGATTAGTACCAGGAGGTTTACTCCATGGCTTGGCGGCTGGCCACACATGCTAGGAGAAAAGGCAGCTCAGAAAGAGAAGGGAGCACCAAATAAAGGGTGTTGGGAGGATCCTCCCAGGATGGGAGATGCATGCTGAAAGTATAGATCGAACATTATTGCCACTCAGTGCCTCTTTTGCAAACCACAGCACCCCAAAGGAGAGCGAGAACAAAAGGGAATGCCCTGCCACAGAGGCAAGGTAGGATGGTGGGGATAGGGGGTGGGAGGGGTACTGGGATCAGTGGTGGTGGAGAATGGGCACTGGTGGAGGGATGGGTACTCGATCAATGTATAACTGAAACCCAAGCACAAAAATTTGTAAGTCTACAACTGTACCTCATGGTGTTTCACTAATAATTTAAAAAATAAAAATAAAAAAGTAAAATCAGCGGGGTCAAAGTGATTTAAACATAAGCAAAATAAACAAAAGGGTATTAGATTCTGAATAAGGCTGTGAGGCTTCACGAATGACAAAGGACTCAAGTGGTGATGGGAGAAGCAAGAAGGCAAGATGCTCTCTAATCAGAGGTCTGCCTTGTCACTTAGTTTTCTCTCACAGAAATATTGTTTCTGACGAAAATAATAATTTGGGTTAATATCCTCAATTTTAATTCTTCTAACAAGTCACAGGAACTGGCAAAGTTCCTCATGAATAGGACCTCAATTTACTCAGCAGCTTATAGAAACAATTTATATGCCAAGATTCTGTTCTTTATATCTTAAGAAGACCTATAATTCTCTAAATTCCAAATTCTCTAAAGTCTAGAATTTCTTGAGTCTTAATTAATACATTTGGCCATATCATTGCAGGGCTGCGAATCTTGTAAATCTGTGTACAAAGACCTGATCCTGTGTGATCCTCAGCTGTAGTTCAGCCAACTCAACTGTACGCCTTGTTACTCTGAACAAGTGACTTTCACTAAGATTTGGTTTCTTTCTTTAATATGATGATGATGTTGCTAGTCTAGGTATTAATTGTTAGTATAAACAGTTGAGTTAGGGTCTAGGCAGTGGTAAATATCCAATAATGATGGTGTTTATTGTCTTGATCTGAAAGTGTGGACCTTCTTCTGACCCCGTCACTAATGTGTCTGTGAAAAATTAGCAGGTTTCTGTTTCCATGGAAAAGAAGCATAAGATTTGGAATTACTTATGTTCATTTATAAATCAATTATTTGTAACTATAATTCCAAACTCAATTATTTGAATGTATCTCTAAAAAGCAAATGAAATAAAAGCCATAAGTAGCATTACTTCTGAAATACACATGTTCACTGACAACTGTCTAACAGATTTCGTTAAAGGAAGCTAAAAGCACTTTGAAGTTAGGTAAACTAAGACAGGAATTTAGAGAATGATTTCTACATGAATAATACAAATTCATGCATGCGGGTTATTTGTATATATAATATGGCAAAAATCCAATAATTGATAATGGAATTTTCTAAAACATTTTTCATGCAATTCTAGCCCTGTAAGAAGTTCCATTAATAAAAAAAAATTCCCCAAATTATGTTTAAATGAAACCATTCTGTGAGGAAACATTCATTGCCACACACAGAATCAAGGCCATATTTAATGCACATTGGGAAATACTGTTATAGAGCTTTTGGATGGCCTCAGGATGTAAAATTTCATTTTTTTCCATATATAATTGTCACTCTCAGATAAATATAAAGTACACATGTTAAAAATTTTACTAATACTTCAGTGGAGAAATCAATGAGATGTTAAAGCTGATTCAGAGGAGACTCTCAAGAACAGTTATGCATCTCTATACTCAGCAATACTGAAAAGAATTTACTGAGTGATATAAAGCTATTTCTTCCTGGGGCAATAAAATGCAATGTTTAAAATCTTCTACAGGGTAGAATCATTAGAGTCAATTTATTTGTATCTCTAGAGGAGTTATTTGCTTTACCCTCAGTTTCCCCAGTTTGGAGAGTTATAAAAATAATCTTGTCCAAAATAAGGATATTATCCTTATAGAATCACACAGGCCCCATGATCTGTTATATAGATAACAATGAATATTCCCATAGGCAGAATAATGTCTCCCACTTCGATGGCCATGTCTTAATTCTCAGGATCCTGGAATATGCTGTGATGTGAAAAAGAAGTTGAATATATAATTTATATTTAATAGACTAGATAAAATTAAATATGCTGAATCAGATACATTTAAGATAAGAAAATTGTCTTGTTTCAATTCCACCTTGACCCCAAGTAACAAGTCTCTTCAAAGTAGAAAAGGGAGGCAGTAAAAGGGGTCACAGGCAATAACTTGATAATAACACAATGCTTGCTTTGCCGATGAGGGAAGAGGTCACAAACCAAAAACTTCTCAACTCCAGAAACAAGAAAAGGGAAGAAAACAGATTCTCTCTTAGAGTCACAGAAGGGATTCAGCCCCACTAACACCTTGTATTTAGCCAGTGAGATCCACTTCTGAGTCTAAATATCCAATAGAATAAGGTAATACACTTGTTTTGATTTTATTTTGGGGCCACACGTGGTGGTTCTCAGGGCTTACCCCAGACTCTGTGCTCAAGGTTCACTCCAGGTGGGCTTAGGGGACCATCTAGGATGTCATACATCAAACCCAGGTTGGCTGATTGTGAGGCAAATGCTTATCCATTATTCTACTACTCTGGCCCTAGAGTAATCTATTTCTATTATTTTGCATGTACTAGGGGTTTGTGGTAAATTAGTACAGTAGTCATAGAAAACCAAGAAACATTGACAAATCTCTTTGCCCATTTTACAAATTATCCCAATATGTGGAAATACTAGAATTTAATACGTGAATAAATAAAACCACAAATGTTTCTTTCACTGCTCACAATTAGTTATACTCAATAGTTCATGATACTATGAATAAAGATACTTTAAAAATATATACCAAACAGGGAAAAAAAACAAGCATAATAAAAGTGAGGGGAAAAAACAAGCATAACAAAAGTGAGGAATTCAAACTATTTAGATTTCATTATGTAAAATCTGAATATTTCTTCATACTTTTAATAGAGTGATGTCTTATTGCTTTTATTTTGAATCAGTAATCACTAATTGGCTTATAAAAACCTGCTGAACACGAGTCTATTATTAGTGTACGTGAGCCAGGTCTTGTGTTTCAGTCTTTCTGCAGGTACTGCATTTTGCAAGTCTACAAAGTCTGTTGAATTCTAAACCTAATTCTTCATCCTCTCTGATAACCTAATGGGGCTTTTGTTGTAGTGCAAAATACCATGTTTTAGAAGCATGATATTCTTTATAAAAGGGGATTTAATAAATTGCTAATTCTTCATGACTCAGTTGGTAAATAGATAAAACTATCATATCCATTATTTATGGAAGTTTTTTCTACCTGCTGACTCTATAGAGGGGGAGGCGTTTACATTTGAGAATGCATCAGGGTAATATGTAAACTAGTAATGAAATATGTCCTTATAAGTTCCATTCTCCAAAGAAATAATTGTTCTTGAAATAATTATGCTGAAAATAATGATCCCATAATTCAAATTCCTAAATTTACAGGCTATTCATCCCTGGGTGGGGTCTACCTCCTTGCCTTAGAAAGGATTCTGATAAGTTTTAGAAAACTGAAATTTGCTTCAAAATGCAAAACAGAAAAGAAAATTTGGTGGTGTGTCGGA